TTAGTACCGGTAAGTCATAAAGTGAGGGAGAAGATCTACGATGGGTGATTGAAGATCTATATGCAGATCATAAATGGGTGCTAACAGGGATAAAATATGTTCTAATCAACCCTACATAATTTTATCCAGTTTCATTTATGCCATGAAATAATGAATCACAATTGTAGCAGGCAGTTCCAACTGCATGTCCGAAAAAAAAATGTCCTCTCCGAACTAAATATTGTCTCCGAACGAATTTTTGACGCCACATATCTCAAGAACCATCTATCCTTTTATTCTGGAAGTTGGTATGCAAAAGCACCCTTACAATAAGTAGCTGTGCAGTACAGAATATAGGGTCGAACTGCTCTGTGTACTTTTTTTAATTAGTAACGTCATGCTGTCAGGCCATCATTTTGTGGTATGAAAAGATGCATAACTGAGTTTTACATGAATAAAACCATTTTGCACTTGAAAAATTGAGTTGTATCCTGACTCCATATCATCAAGCTATCAAACTATGTCATTCACATTTACCCAAAGAAACAATAAATATTTTCTTCCTGCATAATGTCATCAGGTGACTCTTGACCCTATTTTGTTCATTAAGGACAGGTTTAATACTTGAACAAAAAAAGTTTGACACTTGTAGCCCTGATATTTTACAGACTTTACCAGAAACTTATATACAACAAAAAAACAAAAATTCAGAAGAATCAAAGGAACTTTTTTTTTCACCCCAAGTGAGACAAAGTGTGTACCCTGATTGTAAAACAACCCTCATGTTAGTCCAGAAATTGAAAATTGTAAAACTATGTCATCTTGCGGTATCATTACTATAGTCCAGAATATAGCCTATTCAATTTTGATCTCCACCACACCAACGTTACCATGCACCCCCCCCCCCACCCTGCTTACTTGCTACCAGCCGAAGATTACATTTGGACGCCCAGCAACATGTTTTACATTATTTGCAACAGATAAGAAACCTTGTTTTCATTTTCTTGTCTAGTATAACCATGCATAAATTCTTATTTTAAACTATTGACCCATACAAGTGGTATTGCTCGTTTAAAGGGCAAGTCGACTCCAAAAAAAAATACTTACAATAGAAGCAGGACAAAATAATAAGAAAGTTATGAATTTATGAAAAAGTATGTAAAACCATGGAACGATGGAAATCACTACACACATCGTCATTTGGTTATCAGTTTGTGACGTCATGTCCTCACTATTTATCAATTGCTTTATATATTTTCATCCCATTAATTTATTTGTTATCCCCCAAAACAGGATTTAGCCATGCCTTTGCTCAGGTTATATGATTCGTATCATATTGCGTGCATAACATTTCACAAATCTTTTATGAACTTTGAAGAACTGATACTATCTTCTGAATATAGTATACTTACAATTATTTAATTTTATATTAATAGTTTATCAAAACTCAAATTTGTCATGATTTAACTGAAACAAATTACGCTTTATTAGTGCATCCACACAAAAACATATTACTATCAATCTAACTTGGATGCTGGTGTGAAGAAATAAGATTCTTAAGGGGAAAATAGGAAATTTATATCATGAATATAAAGAAAACAATTTTAATAGTGGATAGTGAGGAAATGACGTCACAGACTCAGGAGTCAGTTGCCAATTTGTCTTGTGATGTTCAAAGTTTTTCATGACATTTAAAATTCATAACTTTCTTATTACTTCTCAGATTTTGCTCAATTTTCTTTTGATTGGTTTGCAGATTTGTATGCTTATATTTCAAGTTTTAATTGTTCCACATTTTACAAAAAATTATACGATACATGTAGTATAAATGCGCACTTCTCAATGATTCTCAATTCATATAATAGAAGAATATGAGAAACCTATTAAAAAGCAGTGCTTGTATGTTATACATAGGTTCCTGTAAAAATATGTATTGTAGATGAAAAAACCGTAGCAGTAGAGAAAGACGTAATTTAGAGGGGAGAATTTGAAGTGACTCAGTATTGTTGAAGGTTGATGAAAAAACTGCGTAATTTTTGTATGAAATGTTACTCATCATATTCCTTCTTCTGTATTCACCTTCTAACATTCAACAAATCCTGAACAAATTCTCAAACCACAAAGATATTCATTGTTTTATTTAAAGGCATCACTGTGCGACACCCTCTAACAGTAAATTCTCCTAACCATTTTTGAATTTTCCCAACCGTTTTTCCATTAAAATAAGACTTAAGACAGGATTTTTAAAATCTGTCAACACTTAAACGTCTGGAATGGTATATAGAGCCAATTCATTGCTTAGTGACGATTTAAATTCAACTTAAATATAATTACATTTTGATAATATAGTTGGGAGAATTAAGGAATCGATCAGATCAGTTTTTCCAAATTTCTATCATAATAATGGTTTGTTTTCACTCAATTTTTCAGATTATTTTAGGTGTTCATCTAGCATTAAAGTCACTACCTTAGCATAATTTTCTCTCATCTGAACAATGTTTCCAAGTCCCTTTAACCCTAAAGTCCCTTTAACCGAAGTCCCTTTAACCCCCCCCCCCACCACCGGGGGGGGGGGGGCATTATGGGCCCGCCGTGAAACGGTCGATCTCCGCGAAAATTTGCACGCATGATAAGTGAAGTGTATAGAATACTATGATCATTTCAATTTCAATATTCAAATAAATTTTCTTTTTTATCGTGGATTATGCGATGCAATTAGAGAAGGGTTTAATAATTGTACTATTTTTAACAAGGTGCCACAACCTCTTTTCCAAGATACAATGGCATTTGTTATGAAACGCATTAAAGGATGTTCACATATCTATGCAATTTTATTAAAGAGAAGAATAGGACTATGTAAATGTTTTCTTAAATGGAAATGCATTTTCGACATGAATGATACGAGTTTGGAAACATATTGTTCTATTGGATTTAATTGTAGCATTGATGTGGGCTTACGATGGTTTCAGTTTAAAGTTTTGCAACCCATATTATATACGAACGATCTACTGTTTAATATTAATTTAGTCCCAAGAAAAGAATGTACATTTTGGAATGAACAGATTGAAACAGTTATACATTAGCTAAGTGATTGTACGCGTGTTAAACATATGTGGGATAGGTAGAGCACTGGATTTATACTGGAACCGGAAATAAATTAACATTTTCATTACAAGATAAATTATTTGGTTTAAGAGGTTCAAATAATTATGCATGGAATTGTATACTGATTGTGATGCGTCAGATGGTGTATACTTGCAAAATAGAGAAACAATTGCCCGACTTTGATAATACATGTATTAGAGTTTCGTTTATGAATTACTTCAAAAACGAAAAGGATATTGCAAATTCGAATTGTAGAAATAATAAATTCACAAGAAAATGGTTTCAATTCAGAAGTTTGTTTACATAAAATGATTTCAACAATACTTGAATCTTGAGAAGCCAATTTTATTTATGTTATAAATGTAAATTACCTTGAATATATATTTGTTAATTTGTTTCAAATGAAAATCAATAAAATCCCTTTGGAGGGAAATATATGGAAAAAATAATAAATTTCAATTTTTTGAAAAATACACTCATTTGCATATTTATGGCAATTTATGCAAATAATTTTTTACCCATAAATCATATACTATTCATATTTAAGCATTCTTTTTCACTACATATATTCCTTAGACCATTTGGAATAATAATACGAAAACAAATTTGGAAGAGCCAGCTTATTCCTTGTTTTGATAATTTCTTATGTATTTCATTGTTTTTTTTAAACTAATATGTATTTTATTGTTTTTGTTGTTTTATTTCATTTCTAACTACAATTCAACTATTATGACTCCCAAAACTACCACCTAAACATTAAACAAGACCCAATAACCAATGTTGGATCAATTTTTAGGAAAAATTACATTTCCATATGTTTTGTACACAAATCACGAAAATGAGCGATTTTCACATGACCTTGTAACTGTAGTCCGATTTTTCAACCAAACAAATTAAAAGATGCGCAAGACTCGAAAGAAAAAAGTCATCGAGCGGCGGGGCGCCATCCATATGCGTTCTCGAACAATCAGAAAAATACAAAATACAAAATAATGTACTAGCACCAATACCCAGGACAGAGTCACCTGGTTAACATGCGTAGTCAAAATGCGTAATCACCTGAGCAATTTAGGTTAGCAAATAGCATAATGTAATTTGTTTATATACATTAAAAAAAACGGAACATGCATCATTGATTAATAGTTAAGATTATCATTGAAAAAGAAATAAGTGGGGAGGGCAAGCACATTATATTTGATGTAAGAATGTAAAAGAAAAACTCGAAGTTTGTGTTTAAAGCAATTTAACGATGGTGCTTCCTTAACCTCCGAATCCAAACCATTGTGGGATAGGAGTGAATAACGCTGTTTAAAGCGAACATAGGAGAGAATATATTGGGCAAATCATCCTTACTTAGCTGATACATGAACGTTCCGAGGAAATTATTGAATAAATCAGATACTTTTAGAAAACAATTTGCAAGAAATAAAACGTTAAAGTGTGGAAGGGATCCCATCGTCTCATTTCTTATTTCTCATTTTTCATTTTTCTCTTTCTTTTTTCTGTCCTTTTACCCGCTTCTTTCTTTTCATGTTTCCTTCATGATACGATTCCTGGGGCAAATGCCCCCTATGCTCCCCTCCCCACTTGTACCTAAGCCCTAAAGCGGAGGAACCATCCAAAATGGCGGCCCTTTTGACAACAAATATTGTATATCTATATTTTTTGTAAAATGTGGAACAAATAAAACTTGATTTTTGTTGTTGTTGAAACTAGTCCTTGTTTAGTAGTAGATAATTTTTTCCTCTTCCCCAATGAAAGTACCTCCACAATAGCTTGATTGACGTTACGCCACTGTAATGGAGAGCATCTGATTACAAAGACTGCAGTTTGAATTATGTTTTAATAATATATTCTGGTTTGGTTTATTCTGTATTTTCCTCATCCTTTTCTTTTCGTTTTATTCCCATTCACAGGCGGAGAGAGAAGACGATGACCGTGAGTACAATTCATTTCAACACATTTATAAATTAAGCCCTCACAATGTATATCAAAGGATAATTTTTAGCTTTGTAAAATGAAACATATATCTATCTTGGTTAGGTCCATATTGTCAATTAAAGGGGGAGAGGTTTTTCTTGGATTCAAAACATCACCTCTGCCAATCTCGGTGATCTTTGTTTTATTTTTTCTTTATTGTTAGTTCATAATTCAAATTAGAGTCATCATTATATATAATAACAGTATTTATTAATGTCAATTACAATGTAAGAGTCGAAACGTAGAATTCTGTTAACATGCATAAAACCATTCCGAAAAATAATGGCAAGAGACCACTTCACCCTGCACTTAAGACCATTACTTGATAAGAGTATTGGGAAGGAAAAGAATAAGTTAATTCTAACACTTAATCAAAAGAGGAATTTTCTTTTGTGAGTAGAAATCCAATAAAGCATTAAATGAGGTTACTCAGATACAAAGTCATGTAACTTCATCCCTGACAGCTCCTCTACAAAGGTTTTGAGAGGAGTATTTGGGAGGGGGTGGGTGGGGTTTGTTGTCTTAACAACATTAGTACCCCCCCCCCCCCCCCAAAAAAAAAGGGGGGGGGGGTCTTTTCTACTTTTTCTTTTGGTTATGTGCTATAAAATCCCAAACATTTTACAAAACAATATTTTCCAGAATAAGGGGTACAAACATTTGTGTGTGTGTATGGGTGTGTGGGGCTGTGCTATTGTGTGTGTGTGTGTATGTGTGTGTGTGTATGTGTATTTTTATATATTTTTAATTTCTTCTTATTTATGACCAGATATATATAGCACACCAAAAATAAGTACAGCAAACACATGTTATTTGATGATTGCAAATGATCAAGCTTTATGAAAGCTTCAAAAAAAAAAAAGAATTGAAATCGGTCAATGCGTTGTGATTTTATATCATTTTTTTGATATCGCAAAATTACCGAAAAACCTGCCAGAAATGGTCAAATTGGCAAAAATGGCAAAATTCGCCAAATTTGACAACTTAATAATTCATCACTTTCTTGGACACAAATAATAAATTAAATTATTAGACAATAAAATATCATCTTTGTGGTAAAAAACACAAAAATGAAAATTCATATATCTATTACAGTTTTGAAAACAGAAGCCAACAAAATAAATCATTTTTGCCATTTTTGCGAATCTGCAGATATGAAAAAGTTGTGAAAATAACTAAGTCCGCCTAATTGATATGTGCATATGTAATCAATCAAAACCGATCATGATACATCAGTGAAACCTATGTTTATCAGACAGGTATGGAAATATATTTTATTTGAAAGAAAAAAAAATCATATATATTCATCAAATATGCAAATTAGGTCATTTCAGCTAATTATATATTCGCGCACTCATTATGCAAATTAGGAAAGTCAAACTGTTTATTTTTTAGGCATTTTTTAAATCATATATTTATAGATCATATTTACACCAAATACATATGGAAAACTTTGGGGGCCAATTCGTTCATAAAATGGATTGCTCACCGGCTCGGTCAACTCTGCACAGAGCTTCGCACCAAGTCCCGCAGGGTGCACTGGCGCGTAACACAGATCACTGGGTGCGTCCATTATGACAAAATAGGGAGAATGGGTCTTGTTCATAACATGAACATAAAACAAGGACGATTTCATTTGCATGTTTGTGTCTTTTAATGAAACTCTAAGACGACACAAAAACAATAACAAGACTTTAAAACTGTTGAAGATTGAATTCATATCGATAATTCAATATCAAGGAGTTCACTAATTATATATCTAACCCCACAATCAAATGGAACATTCCTCTCTCAGGGTCTGAGGTTTACGACGAACAATTTTAAAAAATCCTTTGTGTTTCTTCATGGTCACTGGCAAATTACACAACAAATCCATGATGTATCACCATTTAATTATCATTACTACAGTCTACATGTCTTCTTCTTTCTATATTTAAGGTTAAAACTCACATATTGAAAGAAATAACTACACAAAATGGACAAGTTCGAAGAACATTCCGAGAGGAGACGTGCTGTTTCAAATCACATGCAACGCAAAAGTTCGCACGCTAATGTGTACGTCTATGGAACTCGTGTAGTGTGGCATTATGCCATGCTCTTGCGCGAAAAGGAGCATACATGAGAGACAGCAAATCATTGGATGCAAAAGTGCAACCTTTTCCTCTTATCCAATCAAAATGTATGATACATTACTGGAATCTTTGAAACCTCTGCTTCAATTTGATATGCGAGATGGTGCAATTCGCCGATCGAATCAGTTATACAGCCAAGATAAGTATGGAGAGTTGACGGATTTTGGGCGAAAATCCGTTGACCTCCATAGAGAAAGTGTCGTGAAAGGTTTTTTTTTAACATTTTAAAGCAAAAAGTGCAACCTTTCCTCACGAATGAAATTATTTCAAATTTATATCATCTTAAAGAGAAAACATTGAACTTTAAAATTCAGGCCGAGACGGTATTAAAAGTGGGTTCAGTTAGGCTGTTGCTGTGATTTAGCGTAGGTAATGCATGAAATGGTAAGGAATTTCACGTGTTGTAGCTCACGGTGCGATGCGTGAGGAGCAGATGAACGAAAGTTTTTCATATGTTAACCTTAAAGGAGCTACACAAAGAAAATTTACTAACAACTGATAATTAGAACAAATTACATATGGATGGAAAGGTTTTCTCTTGACAAACACGAATAATTTGCTGAGAAGTCATATAGATATCATGGAAAGGCGTAAAATGCAATTTTTCAAGACCCTTCTTAGACCCCCAAGCGCCCCCGGACGTAAGCCAAACACACGAGCGTAGCGAGCTCTGAATAGTGACGTCACACCCTGGACAAACAGCTCGGCACCGGCCGCATAGTCCAGGGTGTGACGTCACAACAGTGACGTCATACGAAGGACTGCTGAAGGCAGTAAATCTGGATCTCAAAACTAACATTTTTTAAAGTTGATTTCTGCGGGCCCCAAACATATTTTGAAGAGGAAATTTGTTGTATTTGATCAGTAAGACTTCCCCTTCGCAATGATATGAATTTTGCATCAATTCAATACACTTTTGCTTCTTGGTGTGACTCCTTTAAATTCCAAATGACCCAAATTGGCCCAATGCAGTGGCGTGCAGCGGTGGCGATGGAAATTACTTGGATCACCGTCACAGCTATTTTCTCATGTGTTTCACAAATCATTCAGAAAAACCGATCATATGATAAGAAATTGCAGACTTTCAGCTACATCACAGTATAGTCCGGCAGCCATCTCGATATACCTTGTTTTAGGGTCTATAGTTTTTTATGCCTCCGCCATCGAAGGTGGTGCCGGAGGCATCATGTTTTCGGGTTGTCCGTCCGTACGTCCGTACGTCCGTCCCGTTTGACCGTTATCACAATATCTCAAGAACCATTTAAGATTTAAACTCGGGAATAGTATTTATCACCATAGGAAGACGATCTGATTAGATTTTGGAGTACGTAGGTCAAAGGTCACAGGTCACAGAGGTCAACTTATGAAATTCCTTGTATTGAGTTTGTTAGCGCGATATCTCAAGAACCATTTGAGATTTAAACTTCAAACTTAAGGATAGTATGTATCACCATAGGAAGACGATCTGATTATATTTTGGAGCACGTATGTCAAAGGTCAAGGGTCACAGAGGTCAACTTATGAAATTCCATACATTGAGATTGTTATCATGATATCTCAAGAACCACTGGAGATTTAAACTTCAAACTTAGTGATAGTGTGTATCACTATAGGAAAACAATCTGATTACATTTTGGAGCACGTAGGTCAAAGGTCAAGGGTCACAGAGGTCAACTTATGAAATTCCATACATTGAGATTGTTATCATGATATCTCAAGAACCACTGGAGATTTAAACTTCAAACTTAATGATAGTATGTATCACCATATCATAATATCTCAAGAACCACTGGAGATTTAAACTTCAAACTTAATGATAGTGTGTATCACCATAGGAAGACAATCTGATTAGATTTTGGAGCACGTAGGTCAAAGGTCAAGGGTCACAGAGGTCAACTTATGAAATTCCATACATTGAGATTGTTATTATGATATCTCAAGAACCACTGGAAATTTAAACTCCAAACTTGTTTAAATTGCTCTATGGCGGAGGCATCATTTTCGACTGCGCGCAGTCAAAATTCCATCTAGTTTTTTTTTGGATTATAGTTCCTGAGACCATCAATTTGAAGAATCCGATTGCTGACACTCTGTCAGCATTGAGCAATTTGAGATATGTGACGTCATACAAAATGGCCGCCAAAATCCCCTTTTTAACCCAAATTAATGATATAAAAAGTGTTAACAGCGTTTTACTACATTAAATGCCAGTCAAATATCTTGATTTTTTTCTAGAATCATCACTAAATAAAAATTGCGATGTTGTATGATCACAATTGATATGTAAATTTGCATAATTCGGAATGGCGCCCTCTATAGACACATTAACTTGCATAGTTAAAAAGGATGGCCAAATACCAATTTCTAACATGAGATTAGCATATGTCATAAGTCAGATGCACTGGATACAGTGACTAAAAGTTGTGCTGCACATTTATTTTTATTTTGTAAATTAATACTCGAAGAAAACACGATTGAAGTTTATGCTCTCTGTCGAATAGATATGAGGTGGCATACGATGATAAATGCCCGTTTTCAGTGACAGCGTTAAGAAACTAGATTTGTATTCTAAGGTACTAGATTCTTTTATATGAACCTAAAAATTACGAACTACCAATACGATACAGGACTATATCCGTTTATAAGTTTGCTTCAAAATTTTGAAATTTGTTTAAAAGCCCTCTAAAGTGTTGGGAACCGTAAAATATTCCACGCGGAAGAGGGTGTCATTTAACACTTAATTCTGCAAAAATATTCAAAACTAATGTGTTCGAAGTGAGGTCGTAAGGCGTGCTTCCACACACATGTTTGCAAATGAGCTCTCTT